CCATGTATAATATATAAGGGGGGTATGATCTCCATGTATAATACATAAGGGGGGATATGATCTCCATGTATAACACATAAGAGGGGGAAATTATCTCCATGTATAATACATAAGGGGGATATGATTACCATGTATAATACATAAGGGGGGGATATGATCTCCATGTATAATACATAAGGGGGGATATGATCAACATGTATAATACATAAGGGGGGATATGATCACCATGTATAATACATAAGGGGGGATATGATCTCCATGTATAATACATAAGGGGGATATGATCTCCATGTATAATACATAAGGGGGGGATATGATCACCATGTATAATACATAAGGGGGGATATGATCTCCATGTGTATACATAAGGGGGGATATGATCTCCATGTATAATACATAAGGGGGATATGATCTCCATGTATAATACATAAGGGGGGATATGATCACCATGTATAATACATAAGGGGGGATATGATCTCCATGCATAATACATAAGGGGGATATGATCTCCATGTATAATACATAAGGGGGATATGATCTCCATGTAGAATACATAAGGGGGAAATTATCTCCATGTATAATACATAAGGGGGGATATGATCTCCATGTATAATACATAAGGGGGGATATGATCTCCATGTATAATACATAAGGGGGGATATGATCACCATGTATAATACATAAGGGGGAATATAATCTCCATGTATAATACATAGGGGGATATGATCTCCATGTATAATACATAAGGGTGGGATATGATCACCATGTATAATACATAAGGGGGGGATATGATCTCCATGTATAATACATAAGGGGGGGGATATGATCTCCATGTATAATACATAAGGGGGGATATGATCACCATGTAAAATACATAAGGGGGATATAATCACCATGTATAATATATAAGGGGGGGATATGATCACCATGTATAATACATAAGGGGGGGATATGATCTCCATGTATAATACATAAGGGGGGATATGATCTCCATGTATAATACATAAGGGGGGATATAATCACCATGTATAATACATAAGGGGGATATGATCACAATGTAAATAATACATAAGGGGGATATGATCTCCATGTATAATACATAAGGGGGGATATGATCACCATGTATAATACATAAGGGGGGATATGATCTCTATGTATAATACATAAGGGGGGATATGATCACCATGTATAATACATAAGGGGGGATATGATCACCATGTATAATACATAAGGGGGGGAAATTATCTCCATGTATAATACATAAGGGGGGATATGATCTCCATGTATAATACATAAGGGGGGGATATGATCTCCATGTATAATACATAAGGGGGGATATGATCACCATGTATAATACATAAGGGGGGGATATGATCTCCATGTATAATACATAAGGGGGGATATGATCTCCATGTATAATACATAAGGGGGGGATATGATCTCCATGTATAATACATAAGGGGGGGATATGATCTCCATGTATAATACATAAGGGGGGGATATGATCTCCATGTATAATACATAAGGGGGGATATGATCTCCATGTATAATACATAAGGGGGGATATGATCTCCATGTATAATACATAAGGGGGGATATGATCTCCATGTATAATACATAAGGGGGGATATGATCTCCATGTATAATACATAAGGGGGATATGATCTCCATGTATAATACATAAGGGGGATATGATCTCCATGTATAACACATAAGGGGGGATATGATCACCATGTATAATACATAAGGGGGATATGATCACCATGTATAATACATAAGGGGGGATATGATCTCCATGTATAATACATAAGGGGGATATGATCTCCATGTATAATACATAAGGGGGATATGATCTCCATGTATAAATACATCAGTGGTTCATATAGTGAACTCGGTGTAGAGTTATTTACCCTGAAGTCATCACAGAGGACAAGGGGGCACTAATTACGTCTGGAGGAACAGAAATGTAATCTCCAAACATGGAAAGGTTTCTTCACAGTGAGAGCTGTGAGAATGTGGAATAGACTCCCTCAAGAGTTTGTTCTGGCCAGCTCAGTAGATTGCTTTAAAAAAGTCCTGGATTCTTTCTTGGATACACAGAATATAACTGGATACTAAACATTTATAGGTAAAGTTGATCCAGGGAATATCCAATTGCCTCTCGGGGGATGAGGAAGGATTTTCTTTCCCCTGCAGGAGCAAATTGGATCATGCTTTGCTGGGTTCTTTTACCTTCCTCTGGATCAACTGTGGGTATAGGATTATAACTTTTTTTTTAACCACTTCCCTTCCGGCCCCTGTGTATAAATGGCCGGGTGGGAGCAGTGCAAGGGTTGGTGGCCGTTTATAAATGTCCTCCTTGCTCCCTGCTTGTGCGCTCTCCCTGAACACCGATTGCTGTATGAGACCTCTGTGTGAGGTCTCGATTCATGTGATCACTGATTGGCCAATCAGTGATCACATGAATAGTAGTAAACAAGATGTCACTTCTGACATCATTGCTTACTACGTGTGAAATCTGTGAATGATCACATGGTACAGGGCTATTCACAACGGCCTTGTACCATGTGATAAGCTGTGACCAATCACAGCTCACACAGTATTTCTCAATAGCTGCAAGAATGTAGCCAGAGAGAAGGAGAAATGATTGTTTTTACAGCCTTTATGGGTGTAAAAGCAATCAGTGTAAAAAAAAAAAAAATCTTCATCACCCCCCACAAGTAATACAGTGTCACTATGGTGGCACTGTACTGCTAGGGTGATGGTATGTAAAAAAAAAACCCATAAATAATAATATAAAAAAAATTAAATAAAAATGTAAAAAATAATTTTGAAAAATTATAATTTTTGGTTACAAACTAATTTTAGTTATTTTTTATTCACTAAAAAAATAACTGAACACATCTTGTCCAAGATTTATGAAGAAAGATTATTTATTTGCAAAATTGTATACGAAAAACACTTTTTTTTCAAAATGTTTGGACTTTTTCATTTATATAGCAAAAAAATAAGAATCCCAGTGGTGAATAAATACCACCAAAATTAAGTTTTATCTGTCTCAAAAAAATGCTAAAAAATTCATATGGGTACAGTGTTGCATGACCGCGCAATTGTCATTCAAAGTGTGATAGCACTGAAAGCAGAAAATTGGCCTGGACAGGAAGGGGGTAAAAATGTCCGGACTTGAAGTGAAGTGGTTAATGGTTGAACTGGATGGACTTTTGTCTTTTTTCAGCCAGATTAACTATGTAACTATGTATATAGTTAATTGCTAGTTAGATTTCTGTCACTTAGTTAGGTTGCTTAGTTAGTATTTTGTTGTTTGGTTTATGGCTCACTTACTGTATCTCTTAATGTTTGATGTGTTTTCTGTTTTCTGTGTTAAGATGGGTTGTGTTCCACTTTAAATAAATCTTATTTAAAACACAGTCTGGTTTTCGGTTTCCTGAATGCGGCTCGACAGATTTGGCCATTCTGCTGCTGGTATCCCTGAGCTGAAGGCAGTGCCTAGCGAGGGAAGTGGAGTGCAGCGTGGCCAGTCCAACCCAAGAGGGAGCTGGCAGTAGCATAGATGTAGGCCCTACCCATATGGAAGAAAAATATATTTGAAATATATTTTTAAAATATTCTTCCCAAATATATTGACATATAATGGAAATACTACAATTTTGGCCATATGCAATATATTTCAAAATATTTTTCAATACACACACACACATATATATATATATATATATATATATATATATATATATATATATATATACACTGCATGTTGAAATGTGTTTTTATTACAAAATATCTGAAAAATATTTTTAAAAATACATTTCAAATATACTGTATGTCTACATATCTACATTTTTTAAATGCATTTACAAATATAGGTAAAAATATATGTTAAAATGACTTTTTTATATGTTAAAAAAAATCTGAAGAATACAATTTAAGAAAAATATATTTTTAAAAATATTATTCATATATTTTGTAATATAAAAAAACGCATTTCAACATGCAGTGTGTGTGTGTGTGTATATATATATATATATATATATATACACACACACACACACACACACTGCATGTTGAAATGCATATTTTTAAATACATTCTTCAGATTTTTTTTAACATATAAAAAAGTAATTTTTAACATATATTTTTACATATATTTGTAAGTACATTCCAAAAATGTAGATTTGTGTTTTTAAAGACATACGGTATATTTGAAATGTATTTTTAAAAATATTTTTCAGATATTTTGTAATAAAAACGCATTTAAACATGCAGTATATAATATATATATATATATATATATATATATATATATATTTATTGAAATCTATTTTGAAATATATTGAATATGGCCAAAATTGTAGCTTTTCAAATATATGTCAATACATTTGTGAAGAATATTTTTAAAATATATTTCAAATATATTTTTCTTCTATGTGGGTAACCTATACCTTCATTACATATCGGCTCCTTTGAAGGAAGATGCACTGCAATGTATAACCATCAGATCCACGCTTCACTTCTATCAGCCCAGCGTTATTCTTCAGATTTTTTTTTAACATATAAAAAAGTTGTTTTAAATATACTTTTACATATATTTGTAAATGCATTCCAAAAATGTAGATTTGTATCTTTAAAGACATACAGTATATTTGAAATGTATTTTTAAAAATATTTTTCAAATATTTTGTAATAAAAACGCATTTCAACATACAGTATACCTGTGTATATATATATATATATATATATATATATTTATTTATTGAAATTTTTTTTTCGAAATATATTGAATATGGCCAAAATTGTAGCTTTTCAAATATATGTCATTATATTTGGGAAGAATATTTTTAAAATATATTTTTTTTCCATGTGGGTAAGCTTTCCCTACTTCTCTGGAACCTTTCCCAACTGCTAGTGCTGTCCCTGACAAACGAGGTATCTCTCCCTACAGTAGCCACTTTGCAAATGTGCACCGAACCCTGGCAGCAGGCGTGTAGCCTCCATGGAGGTATTCCCGAGTGTAGCTCGGGGTAAAGTTTCAGTACCACAAGCAGTACCCCGAGCTACACTCGGGCTTACCATGCGGCGTTGTTCTGGGATCCCTCACCTACCTTGTCCTGCGCTCCCGCGATGTCCCTCTTGCAGTGTCCCTGGCAATGTCCTCTGGCATCTGTCTTCTGGGTTCCGTTCCCTGCGACGTCAGGATGTAGGGGACGGAAAGGCAGGAAATTTGAAAATTACAAAAAGTGACATTCACTAAATTCACTAAAATCATACAGTAAAACATTCCTGTATCAAACCATTTCACATACATTTTGTCCCGAGAGCTTTGTCCTGTGCCCTGCCTGCATTTTTACTGTTCTTTCTGCCTGGAAACTGAGAAACGTCCATGGCGTCCAAAAAGCGTCCCTTTAGGTCAAAAGCGGTTTTAGACCAGCTAGAGAACATCGATAGTAAATCAGAACCACTTGCAGAATTGAGTGATAATGATTCGTAAAGAAATTCGTCATCAGACACTGAAAACGATTCTGCGACTTTGCTCAGTGATGTGCGAGCTTGGCGCTCTATTTCAAATTTCAGTGTTTTTGGTTTGATTATATTATTGAATTAAATGTATTATTATATTATTTTTTATGATTGTTTATTAAATTATAATTTATGATTTCGTGTTTCAAATTTTAACATACCCGGGATGTTTACTAGACTCTTGTTCATACAGATTTCAGTGAGTTATTCCTAAAAATTACAGGCCTACAATAAAAAAAATACATATTTCCATGCAAAAAAATGTACCACTTTGAGCACAGAAATATGGACATAATCAGACCGTTAGGGAGGTTAATAAGGCTCTGCTTGACCGAAGATGGCCACCAGGGTCACATGGATACAGCATAGCCAACCAAAGCTGCCCCAGGGGAACAAAAAAGCCATAGAGAAACCAAGTTTCTCTTGACTTCCTCTCCAGCCGTAGTACGCCTCCGGTCAAGCAACACCTCAGGTGGAGAAATCAGACTGTACCTGCCTACATTATGTTCTTTGGTGTTGGGTTATGGTAATATTGGATAATAAAAAAATCAGAAGATAGCAACTTACCACCAAATGGTGGCCCAGTTTGATTAAGATTTGTTCTACCTAAGTCCTTCAGAAGTTAAGCAGTCTAAATGTAAGTAAAGTATGTTCCACTCTTCTGAACTTAGCGTTGATGCATGGATTGTAAACAGTACGCTATAAAAAAGAAAAGTCAATTTTTTAAAAATAAAACTTGGTATTCGCTTTAATAACTTTGTACAAGAATGACTGTACTTTCCAACAATGCCACAGAAAAAAAAAAAAAGTTCTAAGTGGCAAAACAGAAAAGCTAGTTTAATAAAAACACAGCGCATGTTCTGAATCTCTTCACAGCAGGAGAATGAACTTCTGGGGATATTTCTTCAATGCTGACCCAGGGTCCTCTCTTCTTCTTGCCCGGTCGGACTTTTGTCTTGCTGAAAGAAATTCCGAGCACTTTATTCTCCAGTTTAGCGTTGGTGGCTCTCTAACAAGGCTCGCAGGCTACCCACTTTTCAAGCAAATTGACTTCAAAACATTTTTTTTCTTCCGTGTTTACACCATTTGATCCCGCGAGGCATTTTTCTAAATAACAACTCATTACTCTTTTTTTTTTTTTTCGCCAGGCCCTAAAGCTAAAAGCTTTGTATGTAATTGGGCATTGTTATAAAAAAAGCCTGGGAGTTAGACTGGATTTGGTTAAGTGAAAAGAGTTGCTAATTGCGCTGGTACCATGCAGGGCAATTGTAGACTCTTTAGGATTTTTTTTTTTTTGCTCACGGTGCTGAGTGACGCAAGACCCACACATCTGCCTTTGGGTATTAACTGGTTGGTAATAATTAAAAAATAAAATAAAAAAAAAAATCTGTGAATTTTGCCACATTTCATAACAATTTGACATTTCCCAGATTTTATAATTGGATAATGAATGCGTTTGAACCTTGGAAGGCTTAACATCTGCAGTATCTGTCTTTTGTTTCAATTCTGGCGATAGAGCCGTTGTTCGGTGCTCTAAAGAACTTAAACTGTGAACTTCAGAGGCTTGAACAGGATTCAAAACATATCATTTTACTATTTAATATCTTGACGTAATCTCACTAAGGTCCTGGTGTTATCCTAAATTAGCCAAATCCGGGTCACGCAGATCGTCCACCTAGGGATACGTGACGCTAATTATCATCTAATTCACAGTTTGGCTCTTCTGCTGTATAATGCATTCTTTCCTGAATCTGGAGTTGGCCAAAGACAAACATTTCATATTATAGGCCACTGGGTCAAACTGGTAGCATCGCTTCTTTATCAAATCCTCACTGGGCATATGTTTTATGCTCCTATTTTTTTTTTTTTTTTATTAAAATTTAAAATGCATGTTAATAGGTTGAAAAAAAAGCACATGCTCGTCAAGTTCAACCACTAAGTATAAATAAATAAATACATAGGAAAGACAGCATCCTCAGAATTTGCAACCCACCCATATCCAAGAGCGAGTAAATAAATAATTTGCGCTTGGATATGTTTACATTTGGGATGAGGTATCTCCTTTTTTTCCCCCTCTTATGATTTTTTTTGGTTCATTTTGGTGGCACTGACTAGGGAAGTACACTGTTAGTTCATGGTCCAATCAATGTTTAAATTGTAACTTTCTGTGTTAAAAAAACACAAAAAAATGCATACATATATATACAGTACATACACATACACACAGTATGTATATATATATATATATATAAATAATTATTTATTATTAATATTGAAAGATGATTTTAATAACATATAGATATATATATAATATATGAATTGATGTTATTAAAATCATCTTTCAATATTACTAATGCTAATAATAATCCAGATTGCCATGTTGCATCGAATTCTACAGAAATTTACAGCACTGCTGACTGAAACAGAATAAATTAATTAACCTAAATAATAATAATAATTATTATTATTGTTTTATAAATGATACTTATTATATTATTATCATCATCGTCATTATTTTATTTAAATTGATTAATTTTTTCTTTTTAATCTGCAGTGTTATAAAATTCAATGCAATATGGCAACCTGGTGGCGCTCTGTACAGTGGCAGTGTACATAACATCTCCAGAAATTTCTTGCTTGTGTGATTAGCTCCCTAAAAGACTGTACTTTAATGCCTGCCATACATGGCTCGAATTCTTAACTAATTTTCTTTAGAAAATCAGAAATTTTGTGCGTTTTGTAATCCGATGGTGCCACCGTTGATTTAGAAATCCGACCAACCAAACCTTTAATTTCATCTCATGTTGCTACATAAAAGAATTTTCAGGGCCAAGAATGTTCTTTTCTTTCCAGGTCACAGGTCATGTTTGTTACTTTTTTGATTATATTTCTCTTTCGTTTTTCAAAAAATTTCCAATATGCCCGATCACTCAAACTCGAAAATCTACCGTTTCTGTGGCCCACTAATGGTGCGAAATTCAAACAAAAATTCTTACAAAAGATTTTCGAAAGAAAATTCTTTTGTAATTCAACCCGTGTATGGTCGGCTTATAGTCATATTTTAGGCATCCCCTGCAATAGGAATTTCAGGTTTGGTGACATCCCTAACAGTTAAATACGTCTAACAGGGACGCTGACACTACACAGAAATTGCACCAGGTGATAGTAATGAACAAAGACCATCCCATTCAGAATCAATGTGACCAGTCTGGTAAAACAAACAGCTATTTAGCCAGAGTAAAAATAGGTCGGAAACTGCAACAAAATTTGTTAAAATCCCCGCAATGTACTGTACATTGATTACCCAGAGGGGATATTTTTTTTCCTCAAACAAAAGTGGAATTACTGTTTTAGGTATAGCCGAATTTACGTACTTGCAACCAAATATGCAAGTACTGTCTGTGATACTGTTTTATTTGCACTAACAGATATGTTATTCAGTACTGCTTGGACCTGCCTTCGAATTAAATTGTTACCAAACCCACAACAGTAAAATCAGTTTGTATATGCAGTAAAGCATGCTTGTTATACTCACTGTGGAACCTAAGGGGTTAATCCTCTGCATTGTGTAAAAAGGCTGTCTGATCCTGTCTTATCTGATCCTCCTCTTGTTGAAATGACCACCTGATACAGACTGAACCTGTAGCCACATACACATGCTCAGTTTAGTATGTATTGAGGTCAGGGGCGGACTGACCATTTGGAAACTCGGGCACTGCCCGAGGGCCCGGGGTCAGTAGGGGCCCCATGAGATGCCCCTGGTACCTTTTTCATAGGCTTTTTTGAGTTTGGGCAAGGACACAGGGGACCCATGATCCCCTATTGCCCGGGGGCCCATGAGTTGTCAGTCCGCCCCTGATTGAGGTTTTTTTTTTTTCATGTGAGCAGCACAGGGCCAATCAGCACTGTCCAGACAGAGGTCAGGGCTTCTGCATCCTCTTAGAGCAGAAAGGAAACTCCTCCTACAAGCCTTAACCAGTGCTCTGCCGAAGTCACAACACTGCTCTAACTGCTGATGAGAAAAGGTATTTAGCAGTTTATATTTACTAAAATAATTGCATTTCCATGTTCTGTGTGCTGTGGGAGACCGGATATAGTGAATGCAGGGTCTGGGGAGACTGGATATAGTGAATGCCAGGTCCTGGGAGACCGAATATAGTGAATGCAAGGTCCTGGGAAACCAGATTTAGTAAATGCAGAGAGGGAGAGCATATATAGTGAATGAAGGGTTCTGGGAGACCAGATATAGTGAATGCAGGGTCCGGGGAGACCAGATATAGTGAATGCAGGGTCCAGGGAGACCGGATATAGTGAATGCAGGGTCCGGGGAGAGCGGATATAATGAATGCAGGATCCGGGGAGAGCGGATATAATGAAGGGTCCGGGGAGAGCGGATATAATGAATGAAGGGTCCGGGGAGAGCGGATATAATGAATGCAGGATCCGGGGAGAGCGGATATAATGAAGGGTCCGGGGAGAGCGGATATAATGAATGAAGGGTCCGGGGAGAGCGGATATAATGAATGCAGGGTGTGGGGAGAGCGGATATAATTAATGCACCGTTCCAGTGGCCATCTTCGTTAGTTGTGTTGGTTAATGAGGAGTCCTGGCTTTATTCCACTGTGGATGTGAGATTCCTGGAAGAAAAAGGATGAAGTTTTGCTGAATTAAAGCCTACTATATCTAATAAATATGCCTTTATCAAGTGATTGACATGTGAGTGGCCTAATCTCTGTTTTAAAAGGTTACTATTGTGTGACAATATTATACTATGTGAGTTTTTTCTTCTTTTTCTGGTTGAACGGTGGAGTCTATTCGGATGGTGAAGATTTCCTCTAGTGTGGCACCAAGGAGGGTTTAGGATCCCTAAAATTCCTTAAAGGTTTTTCACTCACCAAGTTCTGGTGAGTGTATTTGATGTTGGTTTGTGCACAGGTGGAAGGTGAAAGTTTCTTTTCTACATCTAAAGAATTTTTGGAACAAAAGAAGTTTACACATTTATATAATTTTTTAACACATGGACTTTTGGTGGTTTATTTTATTTATGAGTGAGGATAAGCACTATTCATTTATGCACGTATTTTATAAGTTCTTATGAGTGATTAAGAATCTAATTTTGTGCTGTTTATTTATATTTATATTGTTTGTGTTTTTTCACAATTTGCACAGCAGCAGTTTAGATTGATATTTTGAAGGTTTGGCGCAGGAATAAGTCTTTTATATATTTTTTATAATGAATGCAGGGTCCGGTAGTAGAGAGGATATAGTGAATGCAGGGTCCTGGGAGACCAGATATAGTGAATGCAGGGTCCTGGGAGACCAGATATAGTGAATGCAGGGTCCAGGGAGACCGGATATAGTGAATGCAGGGTCCTGGGAGACCAGATATAGTGAATGCAGGGTCCAGGGAGACCGGATATAGTGAATGCAGGGTCCGAGGAGACCAGATATAGTGAATGCAAGGTTCTAGGGAGACCAGATATAGTGAATGCAGGGTCCAGGGAGACCAGATATAGTGAATGCAGGGTCCAGGGAGACCAGATATAGTGAATGCAGGGTCCGGGGAGAGTGAATATAGTGAACGCAGGGTCCGGGGAGACCAGATATAGTGAATGCAGGGTCCGGGGAGACCAGATATAGTGAATGCAGGGTCCAGGGAGACCAGATATAGTGAATGCTTGGTCTGGGGAGAGCATATATAGTGAATGCAGGGTCCAGGAAGACCAGATATAGTGAATGCAAGGTCCAGGGAGAGCGAATATAGTGAATGCAGGGCCCAGGTAGACCGGATATAGTGAATGCAAGGTCCAGGGAGAGCGGATATAATGAATGCAGGGTCCATGGAGAGCGGATATAGTGAATGCAGGGTCCTGGGAGACCAAAATTAGGGAATGCAGGGTCCTGGGAGACCGGATATAGTGAATGCAGGTCTGGGGAGTATCTTGGACAATAGTCAATTGTTGTTTTCCCTAGATAAACAATCTACTTTCATTATTTTGAAATATCAATAGCCAGTCATACTCTATTTAATTAATTTTTTTTTCAAAACAGTTTACAGAATTGGTTGCATCAGGGTTCTCCAAACTATGGCCTGAGGGCCAGATCCGGCCTGCTACTAGATTTTATTGTTCCCGTAGCAACTGTCCATGAAGATTTCCTGGCTGGCAGTGGATGAGGCAGTCCGTGTATCATAATACTGAGACCAGTTAATTCACTGTCAGACAGACACCTGTAGCGCCCTCCCAGGTAGGCAGTTAGATAAATTTAAATTTGGCTCCACTGTAATCAGTGGAGTGGTAGGTGATTGTTCTGGGCTGCTCAGGATTCCTAGGCTGAGAGCCTGATTGCTTCCTCCTGCCCCTGGAAGATGCTTTCAAAGCATAGGGAGGGAGATTCAAATCATCAGCTGATTTATCATGCCCTGGCTGATCCCTGGAAAGGGGCATCCAGAAGGTGGCTGGGGATGTGATAAATGGGCAGGAGCCCTAAGCAGATTATCCTATCTTTGTGAGAGAGGGGTTCCAGATCTCATGAGGCTACTTCCCCTAGAAGAAGGATCATCAAGACAAGAAACTATCGTTTGGGCCTCAGTGTCTGCTGAGCTAAGGTCGTAAGAAAGTCAGCTAAAAAATGGGATCATTGCTGAAGGACAATGTTTCAGAACCCAGGTCTGGAGGAGGACTTTGTTGTCTCCCTCTTGGATGATCTGCCTTAGGAGGTTGGATGGCAGACAACTCCTAGTAAACTGTGAGCAAGGATTTTTCTGGGGTCTGACAGTCGAGTAGAGGTGAAAGAGATCCAGTTGCTAACGATTGCCCTGTGGTCTACAGCTGTGGCTTTTAGATATACTGATATCACCAGCTACCTCCAGAACAGCTGCGATTGAGAGACTAGAGTGAAGCTAGCTCTTTTGCTGTCATTGCTGAACATTCAGAGTATCCCGTGACCCTGAACCCTTCTGTTAAAATTTCTGAAGCCATAAATTAAAAAAATACATTCCCTGGACTAAGTTTTTTTTTTGCCAGTGTGCTTGGGTGATTGGTGGCATCTGTACTATTTAGGGAAAACCTGTCTGTTGCCAGGGACCGTTTAGGGGTAAGCACAAACTACCCATGTCCCTCCTCCCAGTCCCCATTGCAGTTTCCTAATCCTTCTGCTGTGGTTGTTTGCTAGGAGCACTGGCATCCTCACAATCAATGACATGTTTGAATTACCACCAGCATTTGCAGGAGGACCAGACTTCTCCTTCTAGACCTTCTCTGCCTTCTGGCTTCTGCTTGCTGCTCTGCTACATGAAAGGTAAGAGGGAATTCTGGTGGGTATAAGGGAAGAACAGTGCTGACCACACATGAGTATAAGGGGAGACATTAATGGGCACTCCTGGATGTAAGGGGTGAACAGATTTATCTTTTCAGATCTTGAGTATTTGTAAAATATATGATTTGGTCCTCGTACTGAAACACTTAGAGGCCCCTGGGCTGGATCAAGCTCCAACGAATGTCTTGTAGACTTCACCTCCGCATCATCTCCAAGATACCCCCATTCTTAACCTCTGAAACTACTAAGCAACTTATTCACTCCCCGGTTATCTCTTGCCTTAACTATTGTAACTCCCTCCTCATTGGTCTACCTAATCGTAGGCTATCCCCTCTTCAGTCTATCATGAATGCTGTTGCCAGAATCATCCACCTTACTAACCATTCCATATCTGCCTTCACTTTCTGCCAATCCCTCCACTGGCTTCCCATTGCTCAATGGATACAATTCAAAACATTAACAATGACATATAAAACCATTTATAACTCTGCCCCAAATTACATCACCAATTTTGCCTCCAAATATCACCCAAACCGTCCTCTTTGCTCCTCCCACCACCTCCTGCTGTCTAGCTCCCTTGTCTCCTCCTCCCATGCTCATCTACAGAGCCTCCCCATCCTCTGGAACTCTCTACCCCAATCTATTCGACTATAGCCCTACTGTGCTCACTTTTTGGCGATCTCTGAAAACCAATCTCTTCAGGGAAGCCTATCCCGCCTTCAGCTAATAACAGAATCTTCTATTCCTCCTACCAGTCCATCCCCCACAGTTATTACCTTTTGTAACACCAGCCCTCCCTCTTAGATTGTAAGCACCAAGGAGCAGGGCCCTCCTTACCCTCCTGTATTGAACTGTATTGTCTCCCTGTCAGGGCCCGGACTTGAACCTGGGACCTCTACTGTGTCAGGCAGTAACTCCTCTCACTGAGCTATTTGGGATGCTGTACAACACTCTGCCTGATCTATTGGACAATCCTGCCTTGCGCCTTGTTTTCTGCTGAACCTTGAACTCCTTGCTCCTCCCATAAACTTCTTGATTTAAGCCATGTCTCTGCACTTCCTCGTTGCCAGATTATTGTGCCTCCTCCAGCCAGTATCTTGCTTTGTCTCTCCTGCTGCCGTCCATACCTTCACTACCGACCTTTGTCTTGTTCCTTGACTACGATTCTGCCTCATCCCAACCTGCTACCACTTGTTACCGACCCTTGGCTTGTTTACTGACTACACTTCTGCTAGATTCCTACCTGCCATATCTGCTACTGGATCCTGGCTTGCTCACTTCCTGGAGGGGCGATCCTGAGAACTGCGACCTGGTACTAACACGCAGCAAAATCTCCACCATCAGGAGCTCTGGTGAATACCGGTTAGTGAGTTAGGTGAGCCTGCATCATCTCCCAGAGTGAACTGCTTGTTTACCTATCCTGTTGGTTGGTCTGCTGCTATAGCTACTGGTCTCTGAACCTGACCTCACATCATGACACTCCCTTTATATTGTAAAGCGCTGAGTAAACTGTTGGCGCTATATAAATCATGTATAATAATAAGAAGAAGAAGAAGAAGTCTATTCCACATTTTAAGAGCTCTTATGATAAAGAAGCCTTTATGTATTGTTCTCCAGGTGGTAAGAGTGCTCCTTATCCTTTGTAATGACCTTGCACAGATTTATTTTATTACAGTATATGGACCATTTACTGTATGTGTGTGACTTGCCTAACAAATTAAAGCTGAGCTCCAGCTAACTCTTTATAAGCAGTTTTCTCCTCATTATCATTACCATGCCTTGTTCTGCACTGTGTCTCTGAATGGAGGCCAACATCTTGAAGGCATCCTCACGTCAGAGCCTCCAGCAAGGAGAACAATGAGCAACAGAGCACCAATATCAGAAAATCTGGTGAGACTAGAATCAGAAGAAGCAGTGCCTTAGATCTCACACTAATGAGGCTGTAGGCATAGGAGTGCCTAGGCACACATACATACCAGGAAATGCTCGACTTTTCAGTTGAAATTGCAGGCTAAGAGCTGATTCATACATGTGCGGTGCGGATTAGAGCTCAGGTTTCACTTCTAATTGATACAATACTTGTTCATAGGTTCATGTCAGGCTTACATCAGATTCAGGACAGGATTAGCTCAGGATCTTATCTTGTTCACACATATGTGGTTTAGAAATAGTTCCCATAGAAGTCAATAGCTTGTAATCTGCACCTGAACTGGACCGGCTCAGAAGTCAGACATGATTCTTTTTAAAGCCACACTAAATCCGCACCATCAGTGCACCAGACATATGTGAACAGGCACCATAGCAAGCAATGTTTTTTCACATGTCATGTGGATTGGATGTGGTTCAAACCTCAAACAATCCGCATATATGTGAACGGGCAATAAAGGGCAGTTTTCAGAATACTGATACTAGACCACCTTTTCTCAACCTTTTTAACATGGAGAAACCCCTATAAAAACTTACTGGTCTCATGGAACCCCTACGCTATGTAATTGAGTTTGACACCCCTGGGATAGAGTACCTTAACTTTTTGAGTTCAGGGCCACTTTAAGCAGCCATTACATTTGTATAACTCACATAAACCAGATTTTAAAGTTATGAAAGCTTTGACCTTTCATCTTTTACTGAATTGTTTCTTGAAGCTCGGTCACCAAAATTTATTTGCTGTCAAAATTGTGATGTTATTGTCTGTCATTGTAAATTGCAAATGGCTCATTAGAAACTGTGTTATTCTCCTGCTAATATGGAAATTTGTTTCTAGAGCTGCTGCTTACCAAAAGGGCCTGCACAGGCAAAACTGAAAAGCCTCAGAACGGAAAGTGTTCTTGCTGAGCTACAACGCTGGGATTTTTGTCCAGTTTGAGGTCACCTCATGAATCCTTCTGCTTATAAATTAAATCAGAAAATGCTAATTTCCATAACAAAAAATAATATGATTAGGTCGACGGCTTAGCCTACAAAAGCATGGATGGAAATGTTGTATTGTAGGAAAAACTATTTGCTATTGCTCCGGATATTGCAAGGAGAATGACAGAAAACATTATTCTGATATTAACGAGTCCACAGCATAAGGGGTGGCAAAATATTCAAGGCTAAAATTAGAGTACATGGAAAACCAAAATCTATTTT